TCGCTAACTCTAGATCGAAGAACATGCAAACACTAACCCTAGATCGGAGAACGATGTAGCCGCCGGAGAAACATAAGCTTTTGAGAGAGATGATCGAAGGGACTTTATCGGAGTTCCGATTAGATGATCGAAGGGACTTTTCCTGAATCGCCAAAGAGAGAGACGAGGGAAAGAGACGAGGTCAATTTTAATTGTGTTTTTTTTTCATAAATTCAACCAATCAGAAACATCCACGTATGGTGTTTTGAAGTGGGGTGAAATGCTCTAGAAGTTCTGTTTTCAGAACATGTTCTCAACTTATTTTTAATTTTTCATTAAAATTCAATCCCAAAAATGTCTAGAACACCAGGGAAGAGCTGCCGATGTACATGCTCTAATCAAAAACAATCTTATCACGGGATTTTTGAACGTATCAAACTAGCACATTAGATAAATTCACAGAAATCTAGTTTCGACTATGTTCACCTCAATTCTAAATCCGTCTACGGTAACTGCAAATCATATTTTGGGTCCAATATTAGCAACATCATATACGGTAATTGCAAATCATATTGGGATTACTATTATTTCTTTCTTTCTTTGATCTAGAGTCAGAATCGGATGATAAAATTACCAACAGACACATACTTAAAAACTGATAAAATCAATGTCCTGTGTTTTGGTAGTAACTGGAAACCTGTTTGAATAACCAATGAAGAAAAAGGACAATGAGGAGAAAAACCATGAAGATGCAGCAAGATTGTCCTCTTCCTCGCCTTCTTCTCTCATCCATTGTACTGTCCCTTTCTCCGTTCCACTCCTCCATCAACCTTACCGTAACATTCTTCGCTGTGCAACTGCATATTTCACATACACTGCAAAGAACACAGCAGAGAGGAGAAAAACAAAGGACTGAGATTAGCCAAGTTTATGTGTCAAACACAGAATCCCATTACCAATCGAATAAAACTAAGAGGATACATACACAAAGCAATGGAATCAACAGTACCTGTTTCCTCTTAGCCTGAACCAAGTTTCAGCGCAATGAAAATGTGCAAGGCCAAGCTCGTTTTTGCATTTGCAACCAATCTCAATCAAGTCCGGACTTACTGACTTACCAGAAACTCTATCCGGTGATTGATCAGAACCAAAATGACAAATTCTGCAGATTATTTGCCCATCACTTTCTTCTACACTGCTCAAATCAACCATGTGAAACTCCTTCGCCTTTGCTTTTGAAGTCTCGTTCTCTTCGACAACACAAGCTGCTTCCTCGTGAACAGCATGAGTTGAAATGTTACTGCATCCAACACCATCTTTGTCCATTCTTGAATCATTTTCTCTTCTTTGTTGCGGTTTATTCGCATCTTCTTCTTCTTCCCTTTGTCCTTCAATCAAAACCTTTTTTGAGACAGAGTCACTGGTTTGACCCTTAACATCAACTACAATCACAGCCTCAAGCACAGATCCACTTGAATCATCACAAACACTGATCGAACTTTTCGGGTCCATTTAAATTACCAAAACCAAGAAGGGTTTCGTTTTCTCAAGTTCCTACAAAGCCAGAGATTCTCTAAGTATGATTGTATCAGACAGAGAGCCAACAAAAACAACATTCCCAATAACTGACACAGCTCCTAGGCATGATTTTTTTCTTGTTTCACCAAAATTTCTTTATCTTCAATGAATACTACTCAAAACCCTAAATTTAGTGGTGAACAAAGCCGAAAGGACATAAATCAAACCTTACCCAGAATCCAGATCCACTTCGATGACAAGTAAGAGCCCAGCTCTTGCTCTTGCACAAAAAAAAGCGACCAACTTTAGAATCAGCTCCAAAGAATCTGGGAACAAAAATTCACAAAAAGGTATCTTTTTCAGCTTTTATGCCTTGGAATTGGATCATTGAGCAACTGGAGAAAATGATCAGAATCTAATGACTTTCCGGGAAACGGATGCTCGTCGATACAGTTACCTGCAAACGCCCTAATCTGCTCTGCTGCCTCTCGA